ATTATTATTATTATTACTGCCACATTTCACTTTTTTTTTCTCCTCAGTGAAATCAAATTAAAATTGCTGACGTCCCTACAATATCTTGAGAAAGATTTGCAGCAGATATCAAATTTGCAAAGGTAAGTTTTGGGATAAGAGGGTCTCCTTGAGAGGAATGAGGATGGATACAGCACAGATTAAACAACTGGAAGATGACGTTGGAGAGAGATTGTTTGACCAAAACCGCTATATTTCCTTACCTTCAACATGATCTAAGTTTAGTTTAAAACTTTGCTGTGAAAGGTGGCAGGTAGTGTGCATTCCTGAATAAGTTTTTTTCTGTTTTCAGGGAACCAAAGGACTGTGATCCTCAATTAGACCTGATTAACAATGGTAGAGTTGGGTTTTTAATAGCAGGAAAAGAAGGTATAGATTTAAATGTTGTTGCATTATTATTGCATATTATCAAATAATTTACTTTAAAAAAATGTCTTCAATTACAGACTGTCCTCTGACTCTCGAGTTTTATCTCTCTCCCACTGATGCTCCATGTAAGATCCCTATTTGTCATTTAATTTTTATTTTGAAATCAACATTTTATTTCTTAAACTTTATTTTATGCATTTGAAAAAATAAAAATAAAACAAATCTGATTTGGTTCCAGTTGTCCAGGCAGCCCAAGTTACAGTCGGTGTCAGCGACGTGACTCACAGACTTCAGATGGCTTCTGCACTCCCACAACTGCCTGAGCTGGATCCACACAGGTCGGTGTTTTATTGTTTTTAATCTCTTCGCCCAGCAGGACCATTTTCATTTTACATCACAGCGAGAGAGMGAGCGAGAGCCATAGAAAGAGAAATGCTAACGCTAAAATTTGCATCCCTGGGGCAGTTGTGTTGAGTTCGCTCCACTGAGCGAAGTGCCAAATGAGATGTTGCCTGCCTGTTTCCTGCTCAGACTGCAGCCCCCACTACCGCTGATGTCATCTTTTGTTGAGAAGCTCAGACAGATTACAGGTTAAACATGTTTTTTTCTGTCTTTCCTTAGAATAAATAATGTTTAATACTGAGTGAAACTGTTTTTCCACTTTGATATTTCACAGATGTGGCTGTTCCAGAGTTTGACCAGCAGTGGGCGCCATTACCCAGCCTTCTCCTAAAAACCTCACTAAGCGCGAACCCCTGTTTGAACACTTCATTCCAACAGGAGGTCTTCATAGTGGTATTAACAGGCAGTGAAAATATTGTGTGTAAGCCTTTAGCTGGAATGTGAGCTGTGATCTTAAAGGGATTACTTGTCCATCCAGCCTCTTCCAGGTAGGCTGATGCACAGTTATGTTCTCCCTGGAGCTGCATGGGACGTGCCTACGCAGAGAGCAACCATTGTGGACAGCGTTCCCTTCACCCACCCTGCTCATGTTCCAGCCCTGCTGGATGTACTGCGCCACCAGTGTGCCATTAACACCCTGCTGAGGAGCTGTTGCTCCGCTCAGAGCCCCAGTCCAGGTGGGAGGATGTTCACATTGCAGGAATAGTGTGGAGCTGATCATCATTGTCAAATCAGGCCTGTCTTGTTTGTTCTGWAATGCTTTATTGATGCGAAACCCACAGGTTTGAGTTGTGACTGCCATTTTGAAGTTACCCCAGAGTCTTCAACCAGCTTTTCTGTGACCTTCCACCAACCACACGCCGACTCTCTTGCTGTTTGTAAGAATTTATTATTTATTTTTAACCTGGACAAGTAATTGAACAAGAGGCACATGTGAAAATGCGATTCAATTATTTAGCAGCTACATTGATAAAGTAGGCATCATTGCTTTGGTCTGCATGTAAAAATATCCTCTTACATCAGTTTAAAGGATAGTTCAGATCTTTTTAATGTGGGGTTGTTTACAAATTCTCTTTCAGACTGAAATTGCTTTAAGACCATAACAATCCACTTTGTTCATGGACTTTCTTGGACTTGTTATTAGTTTGTGAATTTGATCAGAATTAAAATCTGTCCAAACAGAGGTAGTTTAGAGATATTTACAACAGGTAAGTAATTAGTCAAAACCTTTTTTTTTTATAGAACTCAATTTTAAAAGATCATTACTGTTGCTTTCAGTAAGAGGAGGTATAAATGTTGTCCGTTGTGTCCTCACAGTGCTGTTGGATGTATCTAATCCTCATCACATTACCTGCAAATTGTTTGGATTAGAGAGAAGTGATTCCTCACTAGATGAATATGTCTCCACAGTTTTGAAGAGGTATGCTCATCATAACTTTCTTTATTGCTTTCATCGAATTAAAGCTAGCCTCATCGCTTTGTTTTCATTGTAGCTGCATGTCCATTCCTGCAACCATGAGGGCATTATACGGTAGGCTGGAGGAAATAATGTCCGGTCCCGTTCCTTCCAGCCGCCTGGCCACCACAGAAGCTAAAAACGACCACTTGACTCCTAAGATGGATACAAACGAAGAGTCAGCCGCAGTTTCCCAAAGTGCAGCTGTGCCAGAAGATGATGCTTTCTAATTCAGCATGTGGTGMCAAATCTGAGCATCCATCTGAAAGATAAAGCTCCCCTGTTGAGTCTTACCCAGCTGCTCCTGTGGGTGGGTTTCCTCAGTGAATGGGAAGCAGTGGCAACCTGTCAAAAGTTGAGTTATATGTTTAAGAAATAAAGCTAAAGCTTGGTATTGTTTAATTTGMTGTAGGCAAAAATTGGTTCTGACTCCTAGTTTTTGTTAGATTGAGATGCTGATATGTAACCACCGGAGGTTTGAGTTGTGGTGCTTTGCATTCCAGAGTGGTGTAGATTGCTGACTCTAAGGTCTGAGGTCTGGGTTTGACCACAGGTGAYCAAGAGCCCAGTAGCCTGGTACCTTCTGAGTCAAGCATCATCTAAACATGTTCTTAACGGCTCACAAGCAAATGACGCCAATGATAGCATAAACATCCAAAACACATATTTTTGAGCTGCATTCTTTCATAAAGCAGTGAAACGATAKTTCCAATATTTTAAAGTGGGGTTCTGTAGAAAAGTTGATTTTACACTTGTGTTAGTAACTAAAAGGGTCAATACTGTGGTTATTTGGAGTTATTWCAKGTAAGATAWTACTTGTTTATCTTTCCACAGAATCTGTCTTTAAAAGTTCAGWGTTAAATCTTGAAAGCTTTTTAATGCTTCTTTATTTGAGAAAATAAAACTTAGTGCAATGTGTAGAAGTGTGTGGATCTATTTGTTTTTAAATGGTATTTTCTGGAGGTTAGAAACTTTTGGCAGACATTTTAATTTTTATCTAGATACAACCAGGACATCTGAAACAAAATGTGACTGATTTATGTTTCAGCAATAACCTTTTTGCTGCCTGATGCGCTGAAGAGGTTCAGAGTTTCACAATAGTTCTTGACATGGAAAACAGATTACAGCTCTTCAGGCGATCCATGCTTTGGATCTTTCAGCCGTGTGCAGATGGAGAGGGATTTAACATGTACTTGGAATATTTGGTCAACTGTCAGCAGCAGACAACTGGCTTTGTCTGCTTCCTTTACTCCAGCATATCCAATGACCTGTTTGACTGCTATTATAGGAACAGACCAGCATGTGGTTAAACCGCTCTCTTCTTTTAGAGGACCTGTATCCTCTAAATATTTGTGAGATCATGTGTCCTTGGTTTTGACTGAGAAAACATCTTTAAAAAGTGGGGAAATATGCTTTTTTTTGCTGCTTATGTAAGTTTGCCTACAAAGAAACTTTGTTGGTGAGTACAGTGTGGTGTTTCTTGTCCCTGGTTATCAGGAGACATTTTGGCTGACTCTTCCATTGCAGAAACTCTAAATCCCTAAAGCTCCCTCCACAAGTTTCCTGTAGGACTGAGGTCTGGCAACTGGATGGGCCTCACCATGACCTTAACATGCTTCATCGTTAGCCTATACCACCTTGTTGCCTTGATGTTTTGCATCATGGTCATACCAGAAGACTCGTGGTTCAGTGTTCTGGTCTAAGGTTTTCTATACTATACATGGCCTTGACCATTGACCTCTCTGCAGTGAAGTCATCCTGCACTCTTATGCATAATGTTTCCACCTCTGTGCTTCAGTGTGGGGGCAATGCTCTGCAGATCATATAGCATTTCTCTCCCTCAGAACACAGCAGGTGCAGCTGATGCCAAATCATGTCACAATAATAGATGGTTATCAAGCCGTTAAGACTGGGCCTGTACATGGGTCTTGTAGACAATGGAAGATTTCAGTCCATTAAAGTGTGATTTGTTACCAGTCATGCTCTTGGTGGACGTGGTCTCGGCTGCCTTTAGAATCTGATGGTAATGATCTAAAGTTTAGATCATTACCAAACTTCCTGTATTGTGGGCTGACACTATAGAGCAGGGCAAGTGATGCTCATTGCTTCAATTACTCAGTAATGGCGCCAACAGTTGTCACCACCTTAATACTGTAGTCTTGTGGTTTCTGACCTTGTGTAGACACTGTCCTGTCAGACTAATTCTGACATCTCTGCCTGTGGAGGTGGTTGACATGAAAGAAACTGATTCTGTGGACCGGTGTATCTGAAACTGTGGGCCAAATGGGCAAATAACCAGCTAGTGGGAGACATTAGGATTCTCGCTGGCTTGTAGGGGATAACATTTATTTCACTCGATGACACACAAACACATTTTGATTGCCTGCTGCCAAAAGGCAAAAGCAGGTGATATTTTTGTTTGCCAATACCTGTAGGTGTTTTACTATCTCATGAGCTACTGAAAAGGTTAATGAAACTTGAAAGAAGTAATAATCAGATGCGTATCTACAACTGATTAACTTTTGAAGTCAGCCCAACTCCAGATTACCGCCACAACCAGCTGACAATAAAACACATAAATGGCTATAATTCACTCCCTTTTACATCTACAGTGCTAAATATGGTGTACCACACATACTCAAAAAAACTAATTTTTGTGCAAAAGCTTTGCCTAAAACTTTTGCATGAACTGTCTGAGTTTAAGTTTTGACCAAAATGTCTTAATCTGTCCGTTTTCCTCATAAGAAACATCAAGGAGGGGAGGAATCAGAATTAATTCCATAATTAACTTTTCCCCCCTTTTGGTTATTCCAAAGGAGCAAACTTAAAAACGGATGAAAGTAGTATGAACATACTATGTCCTTGTTTATTTGATCTAATTAAAAATTGTTGGGGGCACAGGTCCCTGCKRCTGTTATCTTGTGGGTCAAAAGCGGAAAGGTTTGGGAAGAAATGCTAAGCTTTTAAGGAAGTTTTACTTAAAAAAAACTTATTTTTAGATTAGTCTCTCCATTAAAATGAAACTATGACTGTTTTTTCCTTTGTAAGAAGCCAAACTTAGAAAAAATCAGCATGGGGCATGGAATTATTGACCCAGTAGTAATAATATGGAAATACTTGAACATTTAATAGAAGAATGTTGAAAAGCATGTTTGAGCAATGTTAGCCAAGTTCTGCGCAGTAGCCTATGTTATCATTTGAGTATTTCTGAGTCATGATCTTGGCCTTTTTTTTTTTTAGCCCCCCTTTCCCTCCCTCAGATCCACATTTCCCTCCCTGGTCTGCGGTCTCTTTAAATCCAAACCCAGTGAGAGAGAGGGGGCGATCTGCGCCTCCTCACAAACTTGTCTGGGTAGCTGCAGTGGCCGCACTCATCCCGATTAAACAGCTGCTTACCATTTTAGGGAACTTCACAAAGTTTTTCCTCGGACCTCAAGGAAATCGTTATTTTTATATTTTTTTGTTTTGTTTCCAAGGGCTCAGGGAGTCTGCCTCAGAATCAGAGTCTGCACGACTAAAACTTGGATTTTTTTTTTCTTTTTGTTTTGCGTAATGCTTCTATGCTCAACATCTGGATTAACTATTTGAATCCAGAGCCTGTACACTGAAACTCTGCCTTTTTAGCCCAACTTTATGAAGTTTTTTTCGACCCCTTCTTCTTTTTTTTTTTTTTTTTTTTACTCTGGAGTTCAACTTGATAACCCGGGAGTCTGCTCATAGATTATGTATTCTTTAAGATGGGTGCGAACAATGGAAAACAGTATGGGAGCGAAGGTAAGTGCTGCAAGAACTACATTTAAACTGAACATGTGAGTTTAGCTGTGTAAAAACGAGCCATACTGTCACTGTGGTCTTTAAGTGACCGTTAGAGGACTCATTGTCTCGGAGCGTCTGAAACTAAAAATAGAAAAAAATATGGGTTGTCTACCTCGAGTTTATCTCCAGACAGCACTTAGTTTAAAATGAGCTCAAACCCRTCTGGGTTATATTTAATTTTCTTAGTTTGGACCTCAAACTTTAGGCTAATACGTTCATTCAGCTCGAATTGTCAAATTGTGTGCTTTTTATTTAGTTATATTCTTAAAAATAAAAGAAAAAAACACTGCTCTGAAATGCATTGTTCAAATATTAAATTTCATCTATGTTGCATGTGTCAGTTTTTCCCCCTCTCCTTATCTTACCTCCTCTGAWCCTCATTATTCTTTGAACTTCACAGCAGAAATGCACCAGTCATAGTTGGTCGATTTATCACAGACTTTTCTGCAGCTTTGACCCGCCCAATAGACTTGGACAAATGATCTACATATAGATCATTGCCAGGGGCAGCTGCTACCTGAGCTAGTAGTAGGGCTAAGCCCTCCCTGGTGCCTACGATAAAAATGTTAAATTGCCTAATAAGCACAAGTTAAACATTGTATCACATTTTATGAAATTTATGACAAACCTGGTGTCAAAMATTTTGGAGAAAATCCCAGTCTTTCCAAACGGCTAACTGTTTGCAGCCCCATTCATTTCATGTCCAAAATGATTGACAGGTGTCTTATCCCGCCCTCTCAGTTTGCTGCACATCAGGGCTAATTTTGTTCAACCCAGGGTCGGCCCAAAGCCTCAGGCTTTAGCCAGTGAGGGTGGACGTACAACGTGCCTCAAACGCGAGTGTATGTGGGTGTGGTTTGGCGTAGACCACGTAGGAACAATGACGAGCAAGATTAACGTAAACAAGGTGGGAATATTTGATTTCTCACTCATTTTTCTTGATGTCTTTGGAGCAAAGCCTGGAAGTGACGTGGTTGGGGACAGATAGACCAAAGGCTATTCAAATATAGCAAAATAAAAAGTGGCAATGATATACCAATACAACTAATTCATTTTTGGAGATGACCCAGTTTAAGAAGGCTGCCGCAATTGATCTTTGAACAAAAGTTGCTATAATTTAGTCAACTTTACAAACACTGAGATAAAATTTGATGTAGCAGGGAGACATTCACAGCACATACTCTGAAAGTGACATTTTTGCAATGTTGCTTGAGAATTCAAGATTTGACCAAAACAGCTGTATTTTCCATCCCAATATACAGTAAGATAATCTTAGTCTAAACAGCAGTTCCTTAATATGGAGCTGAGACCCCATTTGGGGTCACAAAATACCATCTTTTTAAAAGATCTTTGGAAATCAAATTAACTCTGACATTGGCAAGAGCATAGTCTTAAGGACTGTAGAAAATTAGTCAGGGTCACATTTCTCCAAAGTTTTTATTGAGTACTATTTCTTGACACATACACTGGAGATGTGAACTGTGATGCTCTCAACTCAGAGTGGTCTGTTTGTTTCTGTGCGGTTTATTTCACAATCATGACCTTTGTTGAATGGTGAAGTGGATTTGTAAAATTTGAAACAGACGTTCTAAAAACGTTGGCATTTTGTGCTGAAAGACCTCCTGGCTTACCACATAAACACTATGAACAATAGCCCGGACAAACTGTCATACTCTGCAGTCTTGTAGAAATATCTAAGCTGGAGAGTATTATATTTCAATAAATAGCAACTAACTACCAGATATCTGTGTGACAACATGAATAAATTCAATTATTGCATGGCCAAAACATTGTTTTTGTTAAAAAATACCTAAGAAATAAGTACTAAAAATCAATGACTTTTACATCAACGCTGGAAATCATTGGAAGACATATGATCAAAACACATTTTTAATAATGGAAGTACTGTACACAGGAAATATGTCTATTTTTTGGCTACAAGACCTTTTGAAAAATGGCTGCTGTGTCCAGTGTTATATATGTAAGAAAAAAACGTGTCAGAAGTGTTAAATTGTTAAGCCATTTTGTTGTGAGCGAAGTCTGTAATTTAGCCGCCCTCCTCCTGTGAACAGTCATTAGTTTGACATTTTAAGAAATGGTGTGATATTGCAATATGAATGTTTATGTGAGAGAAAGAGAAGTTGTGCTGCATCTAGTAAAATCAAAAAATGTTTTTGGTTTAGTAAAACAAAGAGAATTAATACAGATTTGACCTTCTTAAATAGTAACAAACATATACAGACTGCATTTACTGTATATGGCTTGGAGATTTCCCAGCAGCTGTCTAACTTTTCCAAATCCAACCTGCTCTACGACRCAGTTGCTGAAAGGTCAAAAGGGTTAAAACCAATTTTCAAAAAATATATCCTTTATGACGGTGTTTTCCGAAGTTTGTTGCATCAAGTGGAGGTCGTCTTAAGATAGTAACCTGTGGATTTTTCTGGGTACTCTGGTTTCTTTTTGTACAGAACGTTAAACTAATTGGTAACCCTAAATTGTCCTTAGGTGTTGGTGGGAGTGTGRATGGTTATTTGTCTCTGCGGCTATGTGTCTCTGTAATGGACTCGTGACCTGTCCCCCACCTCACACATAGTATCTGTTAGAGATAGGCACCAACAACCCCATGACCCTTTAAAAAAATCAGGTATATAAAATGGATGAATAGATGGATTATTACTCAACAGCAGGTGACTAGGTAGGGCAAAAATTCTTTAGTCTAATTTATTTCGGTCTTGATTTCACTAAGCTTGTTCCTGTGTTCCTGCAGGTTAAATGAAGGTCGAGGAAAAGACCTGAGTGTTTGGTATCAGGGTGCCTTCTTATCTTGACAAGAGCCAATTCCAGAGATTTTTGTCAACAATCTCAGAGTTTGCTGGAAGCCATTTTGATTTACATATTGGTCATCCCATGTTTAAAAGGAAAATATATGTTGTGTATATGTGACAGCCTCACCTGGAGGTGACAAAACTGTAAAACGAACGTTCTTTTATCATGTGTATTAATGTTAATGAGCAGCTGCAAGTTTTACAAGTTTTTGTAAATGTTTTAGGCGAATTGGTAACTGACTTCTTATATATATATATATATATATATATATATATATATATATATATATATACACACAAAAATAGCCCAATTGGTTTTGCTCAGCGTTGTGCAAAAATAGTACCACTTAACAGCAGCTATATTTTCAAATAGTTAAGCCAGTAAGATGCTTAGATTTATTGCATTTTATCTTTTATTTGATGGATTTGAAAAACTGTTTACCCAACAGGAATGCAGCTCAGACTTCRACATCGCTTAACCTTATTTTTACGCCATCTCTCAGTTGACCCCTCGTACCAAAAAGGTGATATTTCCAGCATGTGGCATTAATAAACCTGGAATATCAACTCAGCTTGATGGARCTGCATCATTTTTATGGCTACAAATAAAGTTTGGACACCGATTTGGGTGTTACCACCAAAAGGGACTAACATTCATCTTATCACAACTTATCTCTTCGGCGTTCATAAAAAGAAAAACAGCTGTCCAGCTTAGCCAAATGCATTATTTCTGGCCCCAGAGTAGAGATGCTTGGATAAATAACATTCCAATGAGCTCTCTTCCTAAGTCAATAAGTGCTGAGAAAAAGGTCAGAGCCCGTGATTTAAAAAAATAACACGTGCAGCAGCTCCACCATAGAGTTTAGCTTGTTGAGCTTGTCTTTGAGTTAAAGTGTTTGAGTTCTGCAGCAACATTATTGTGTTAAAATAGCAAGACTTGAGTCACACCTTCCTATGTGATTACATGTAATTAAACAGTTTGGGGTTTTTGTTTAAATGGGCACCATTTTGTGGGAGAGCTACATTTAAATTTCCTTATGAGAAATTAGCATAAGCACTGTGTAACTTAAGTGTTTTGTATTGCTCAACACTGTATATTACACTGTTTCTTATGTTGTAGCTTTAAATGCTTCAAGGAAAGTGTGTCATTACATTGTATACATGGAAGATTCACAGTGATTTTGTAATATCTTTTTGTGGCTCCCCATAACACATGGCAGAGCATGCACAAAACTTCTGTAGCAAAGTTGTGGTGACAACTTATAAAGACCCTGGGTGGAGCATGGTGGCAGCATATTCATATTGTGGGACCTGTTGCACACCAGCGTGGGTCATCGAGTGGCCTTTTTTTTTTCACTGCAAGGCCTGGCCTGTGTTCAAACCATGGGTCCTTATGGCACAGTTTCACTCTGATTTATRGAACCCCGAGAACTGTGGTTCTATTTGGGCTRGGCTGCTCGGCCTGATTTCATGTGTTGCCCATTGGTTAGTTCACTGAATGGGGGAGGGCATATTACACAAATAAGAATAACTCTATTTGAATCGTTTGCAAGGACTGTAACATCTTTTTCACAAGTTCAACTAAAAAACAACCTCAAGTTACCAAGCAACAACAAGCTAACATTAGCTAACATTAGCTTACCATCCTTTATCGTCCYGCCTTCTTGTCTTAAGCGTCATACTGCTGGATGATCCAGTACAGCCTTCTGTTTGAGCTTGATGTAGTCCATTGTTGCATCGCAATCAAAACAAATAAGATTACTGTGTTTTTAATATGATGATCCCGCCTACACGAAGGCAGTACTCTGCTCAAAGCAAACACAACCAGGGCCAGGGTAGAATAAGGCCGGGCTGACTGGGGCCAGGTCAGGCTGGGCCTTACCATGAAAAAAGCACAAAGGTAAAGCAGGACTTACTCTGCTGGATTCCTGTTAAGGCTACAATTGTGATTGTGAGAAAGTCATGGAAACAAACCAGACCCACTGAAAACAGGTCTGCGACCCTCCCGTTGCTWCCTCAGACCCCCTCCACCAATTAGGATGTTGTTGTTTGTCTCTGTTTTTCAAAGTTGCCTGTAAAAAAAAGTACCATTTGGTGTTCTTGTTATTGTACCGATCTGTGACCCTCATACTAAGGTGCCCAYCGAACTGTGGGTGTAATATTACACCCCTACTGAAAAGAAGTCAACATGATGCAAGTCTGAAGATTAAATGTTCGAAAATAAACCACTGCTTAAATGGTACAYGATTTGAGGAAGTGCACTATGGCTMATATAGGCACCAGTTTATGATAAAGTCATTTCCATTAGCATTTAGTCCTTATTGTGTGCATTGCTGACACACATCTGCGTCTGTTTGGTTAGCACGCTCTTCTTCTTACTTAGCTGAAGTTAWTATTGCTTGAAGTATGTAAGACCAGAGTTTTTATTTTCTCTGCATGTGCAGGACTCTGCAAAGCATCAGCACACATCTGTTTTCAAGTGTGTCTCCACAATTAATTACACACTAGTTACAAGTATGCAGCAATCATCCACCGGCACACAGGTGGAAGTTTGTAAAAGCTTGTTTTTTTTCCACATTACATAAAAAAACAACCCTAAATATTAATTAGTTTCTGCTTTATAAAACCAGTCGTATCTTAACTTWGCTGTTTTTTCTACAAGCTCCCTGYGAACGGTGTGACRCTCCCTTAAAAGGTTTTTCATCTCACGACAGATGAGCTGCATTGAAGTTGCTTCCCTCTTTCGTTCTCAGTCTTTATCTTACTCAGCTTTTTAGAGAGAAATTTAGCTCAGCACGTGACATGCATTCTCCCGTCCTCACTAAAATACAAACTTGCTCTCAGAAAAGCCACAAAGCTGCATTTATAATTTGACACATGAATCTAAGATGCCATAAAAACAATCCTTTCTGCMTGAATTGCATGTCCTGTCTTACTCCAGCAGTATGGGCACACTCAGATTTAAATTTTATGTCCAAGTTAGAGCTCCTATGTCATCCAATTGGATTATAAATGCTACATAGCTCATAAAATAGTTTTGAATTGATTTTAACTTACTAGAAAGACTTTGATTTTACAGTCTTTTTGCTGTAGATAAGATGTAATCYTTCATTAAAGGCTTGTATCTTCCACCAACATGCTCCCTTCACTCGTACTGTGTGGAAGCAAGGGCAGAATGATGATTTCAGATGACTTTATTCCTTCTCCAGRAATCAAAAAGTGAATAATAACTCAAACAAATTAGGCCCGACTTTGTGCGTGTGCCAAGGGAAGCCACTCTTCCTCAGCTGGGAAATGTAAAAGTCATAAAAGTCCAGAGTTATGGGCTTTATATTTCCGTACACTTCATCCTTTTGAATTATAATAAAGTGAATTATAACCGAGGAATTATTTCAGACAGACACTCCTTAACGCTTGACTGAAAAATACATTTTGCTTTCCTAAAACCTAAAGTTTTTTTCAAAACGTCATCAAAATGACTGAAACGTAAATCGTCTCGTGTTTTTTTTTCTGTCTCGCAGGTAAAGGCAGCTCAAGCATCTCCTCTGACATAAGTTCGAGCACAGATCACACACCGACTAAAGCTCTGAAGAATGAGGCTACCACTGAAGGTAGGGCATCTGGTGCTCATTAACCAAACTGCCCTCCCATTTTTTCTTCCTCTCCTCCTTTTCCTCTTCTTGCTGCTGCCTTTTTGGGACTGAAACCTGTGTGTTCTTGGGCTAAGCCTTCAAATTCAAACCAAACTCCCAGCTTTTCATCAAAACCCCAGAAACGTAGGACGTTTCTTGAGCTTTGTTTTAAAACAAGAGGGAAAACCAAATACTCTTCTAGCTTCTCCCTAGTGAAAGAATGCTTATTTAGTCTGTTGCAGGGCCAAAGTGCTGCCCAGGAGGGCGGGTAATGTGTGTTAACAGTAGACTTATTTTGGAAACGTAAGAAGATGTAGGGAGAGGAATAGAGGATGGATTGCTTCACCTTCTTCTCTGATGTTCTCTTCTTCTAGCTCTCTGGCTCCCTCTTGCCTCTTTATCCCTCTCTGCCTTCCTGACCAGGCAGTCATCCAGCCCAAAGAGTTAGCCTCATGTCTAAAGCTGTCACAAATGTGGATCGGTTGTATTTAAACTCAAATAAAGTCAAACAGGTTAACCAATTAGTGGCTTTGCAATAATAAATCACTGAAACAGCTAAAGCTTTAGTGTTTATTTGTCTATAGGAATATGGTCACTTACTTGCTCATCATGATGTGTGATTCCTGCTTAAATGTRGAAATTTCCCAACTTTGGTGGAATGCTGAGAAAATGCTAAAACTTTATCTAGAGAGGAGCAGCAAGGTTACTAGTTGATACAACTTKCCCGATAGCAACAGCATCCTGAAAATGTCTCCATTGTCTGGACATGGGTAGCCCCTGTGAGTTTTTCAACCTCTACTTCCTGTTTATTACAGCCACGTGTAAGGTCAGCATCAGACAAAATTATGCTTTGCGTAGCCTGGTTGGATAGGGTAGCGCCTCTTCATTGCTGCAAGGCCTGGGTCATTGTGTATGTGGAATGGGCTGTTCTGAACTGTAATTTTCCTTTGGGATCAATACAGTGTTTCTGAATTGTGAATTGAATTGATTCAGTCTGTATCAGTGAATGGAAATACGCTTAATTTGCATTTATTTTTTATGAAATTGAAAAAGTTTACACAAAATTCTCATTAAAAATGGACAGAAGAATGGCTAGTGACCCACGCCTGGAGATCCAATCCCTTCTGATTCTCAAACCTTTAATCTCAAGTTCTAGTGTGGTGGGATGCTCATGCTCCAGCCTTTGCCTAAGTATAATATCTACACAACAAAGTATAGTATGTGCATCAATGCTATTCTGTTCACAAAACAGAGTGAATTACAGTATATCATGACTGAATAAGCAATCTTAAAGATGTCAGTTCCATTTAGTTGTTGTTTTTGACTGCATAACCTCATGCAGTGTGATTTTCCAAAGTTGGGTTGATGACTGTTAGTAAAATTATACCTCCATTAAGTACAGTGTGTCTTATGGGGGCTCTGTGTCACACATCCAGAAATAACCACAGAACATTTTAGACTAAATGGACAAACATTTGCTCTTTATAAACCCACTCAGTTTGAATTTGTTAACAAATCTGTAAAGAGTTAATTYAACCTTATTGTGACACATGCATAGTGAGCAAATTTAATCATCTTCAGTCCAAATCTCCTTTTGTGAATTTGGAGTGTACACTGAAATAATTAAAAAAAAATAAAAATAATTAGCAAAGCCATTTATCTTGACTTATTAAAACCCACCTAAAGACCTGTTGTGGCCTCTTCAACCTTTCTGGTACAGTTTTTTTTTTCCTTTTTTTTCTGTCTCTCAGCTAAACAGTGACTCATCGCCTGTTTGGCTCACTCGTCCACACACACGACATGCTCACCCTGTTGCTCTCATGCATTGTCATCGCCAGTTTTAAATTTGCTCTGCTCTGGCGAATGAAATATTCTTGTGGTTTGGCTCTGCCCACACGAAAACAAATAGCAGCTACAGGCTGTGTTTAGAACTGTCGCTCAGCCGAAGGGTTCAAGGTGTCTCTCAGAGAAAAAAAAAAAAAGAAGAAGAAGAAGGGGAAGAAAACATCAGGCCAGCTTCTGAGCTTTTGGTTTTATGCACAATTACTTTGTTGCCGAGAGCTTTAATGCACTCATTAGTCTTTTTGAATTTAGAGTTAAAGGTAAGCGTGAGTGTAGAGTGAGATGAGGCAGAAAATGGAAATGCTGACTCGTTTGGATTTGTACACTATGGAGCTTCTGGAAAGAAACCTCGTCGTTATTTTGGGGGGGAAATGTGTAATTGTCCCTAACACTTGGAGCGCAACCTGTACAGATAGGAATATCTGGACAGAGTGAGTTATAGACCATAGACAACTGGGTCCAAACCATAATTCCCAACTGTGTTATGACTGAAATTGTTACTTTTTTCTTCATGCAAAGTGGGAGTAATTACATGGTCCAGAACCGCTATGGCCACAGTCAAATCCCCCCCTGCCTTAGAAAGAAACATCAGAAATGTGCACTCACACACAGTAGCAGATCACGCAGCCCCTGCCCACCCAGTCCTGTGGTCCACTAAACTAATTAGGAAGCAGTCTGGGCTGTTTCCCCCACCACACACTGGGAGCATTCACAGGACCCACGATGTCCCAGAGCTGCAGGAAGGACACCACCGTATCAATGCTTTTAGCTTCCATCACCTCCACCGCCACTGTTAGTTAGAAAGCTAACAAACATGTAATGCATGAAAATCTAAAAGTCTTCTAAKTTCTCTCCATCTCACAGTGGTTGAAACTGTTCTCCAAAGCCTCAAGGTATTTTGGCCTCTGAACTGTTATTCTGCCACTCAAACTTAATTTCTTGGACYGATGTCGGAGATATGTTTGTTCTTTGCCGAAGATTAGAATATCAAATTCATCTTCTGAGACAGTCCAGTGGCTTTCTGGCCAGTCTGTGATTCAGAGAGAGGAAGGATTGTGAGAGGAAGCTGACACCTCTGTATCCCAACATATGYGACGTCTGTGTTGTAAACTTGGACCACAATGACAGGAAATAACAATTTGGTATCAACAGCCTTTTGTCTTAAGTAATACTGTGGAAATGACTTTCAGTTGTAYACTTTTTATATAAATATTACGTGATTTTTTTTTTTCATTTTTGGAAACAGAGCAAGTC